GCCTAGCAAGAGGCAGACTTGCCTGTAGAGACAAGGAGGATTTGCCTTTAGGAGAAGAGTGGCTCCTGCTAACAGTGCCATTTTCCAGCAGGTTATTGACCCTTCAAGGTTGGTGACATCCAAAAGAATGAGCTCACGGTGAGGCATACCCAGGGCAGAGGAGCCAACTCCAAATGGCTTTTCTAAGCCAGCCGTAGTGCAAGATGAATCAGCAGCAATGCAAAGAAAGGGTGTTTTCACACGTTTAATTGATCCTGGAAGCAAATAAATGCTAAGCGAGAACGATGAGTCATTGTTCCACTCCAGTGTGGGAGGATGAGAGCTTTGTGCCTGCACTTTTCCCATGTTCAGTAGTCAAATAGACTCTTATGGAGAACAGCAGCGAAGGTGGTGGATAGAGTTTGCTCAAAAAAGAATCAGAAAATAAAATCTGATCGTTTAGACCTGAACACAGGAAGGGGAAAGAAATTGAAAGGAAGAGTGACTATCCTTGTAAGCAAAGGATTACTTCCAAATCTAGGGAACTCACAATGGAACCCTTAAAAAGTTAAATTCCCTGTTACCGGACCTAACATAGAGAAATTACATTCATGAACAAAGGACACCATAAACTTTTTACATTGTAAAAGGAAAATGAAAGTGGAAGAAGAGGTTGAGGAGGAGGAGGAAGGCTGGCTGGGAAGGTGATTGGAGGTAGGAATCCATCTAAGGAGAAATGGACAGTGGCAACCCCTTTTACCCAAGAGCTCAGAGACAGAATATCAATTTCTTGTTTTTAAGAGGGGGGATAAAAAGCTAATATTCAGAATAACAACCCTCATCCCCCCCCCACACATTAAAAAAAAAAAGTCAATTTAATTCAACCAGCTTTTGTTATCTAATCATTACTGAGAGCTGAAGGTGGTTTTCCATTAAAGCATCTCCGTCATTCTCACTCTCTGACCTGTGAACACTCTTATTAACTGCCTTATTAAGATGATATCCTGTCTCTGAAGTAAGAAAAGAAGATTATCTCCTTACCTGACATGTCATCATTGGAGTAATCTTTGTTCCCCAAAAAAAAGGAAAATAGAGCTGATTGCTAAATAGACGTTTAAATTTATGGCACACTATGCTATCCAAAGGAGAACATTTGTCACCCAGAGGTAGTTAGTAGAATCTTGGTGACATGTTCTGCAAACAAAGCCAGAAAACAAAGTTGTGTCTGGTTAATCTTATGTTGGTTTTGACTGGAATAAGAGGTGGATGGTAACTCCTGAATTGCAAGAAATCACAGGATGAAATAGGAACACGTTAAAATAACCAAATCATGGTGGACGATCATGAAGACCACTACCAACAGAGGGGCCAGTCTGTGAGCATCTTCTACCTGTTCACAAAATGGTGAGCACTTTTTGTTTTTTGGTGGTACTGGGGTTTGAACTCAGGGCCTTGCACTTGTTAGGCAGGCACCTTACCACTTGAGCCACTCTGAGCCCCCCACCTGCTTACAAAATGGGTTTGGAATAAAACCGACTGCCCCTGCTCAGTGAAAAGAACATTCATTTGATTTATTCTTTTTGATTTGATATATTTGACTTCTTTGGTAGAAAACTTGAGAAGTCCAGATCCTCCTCTCCTCCCTGAAACAGTCTTGTTGATTGTGGGATGCTTTGACTTCTGAGCTCTTTGTTCTAACTGATCACAAAGAGAGTTCTTAAATTACATATAACATAGACTGTTATGGCTTTGATGAGTGTTCCCCAAAGGTCCATGTGTTAGAGGTTTCATCCCCAGAATGGCAATATTGGTAAGTGGTAGAACCTTTAAGAAGTGGAGTTTCATGGGCGCTCTCTCTCTCTCTCTCTCTCTCTCTCGATAGTACTGGGGTTTGAATTCAGAGCCTTATGTTCGCTAGGCAGGTGCTCTACCATTTGAGCCATGCTTCTAGTCCCTTTTGCTTTCTTTATTTTGAGACAGGGTCTTGCATTTACCACTGTGCATCCAGCCATTGGTTGACACTGAGTCCTGTGAATTTTGACTAGGCTGGCCTTGAACCACAAACAATGATGCAGATCTCCACCTTCCAAGTAGCCAGGATTATGGGCTTAAGCCACCACCATGCCCAGCCATAAAACTTTCTTTACTTCCTAAGTAGCCTGTGTCAGGTGTTTTATTATAGTGATGTGAAGCTGATTACATTATTTTAATAATTAAAATGCTGTTTAGGATCTTAATGAACTAAGAGTGGTAATAATGCCACAGTACGATTATCTTGCTGCATCCCCATCTGAGGATGGCCCCAGGGTTCCCACCTGGCCCACTTCATAGTATGGAGGCTTCTCTCTGATCATGCTGGGCAGAGTCCAGCACATGTCTTGACAGTGCCCAGCTGGCTCTACTTTGGGACACTCTCTCCCAGGTGACTCCCTCAAGTCCTTGTGAAGACTGGGCACAGGAAATCAGTTCATTTAGACAAGAGCGATGGAGTATATTTTCCCTCCCATGCTTCCTTGTCTCTATTCCTACTTCTCTTCCCACTTCAGCTCAAATTGTCAGTTTTCATCCACAAATTTCTTTGTGACATGGGTCCCTATTACATTTGATATTACCTCTCCTGCTCTGCCTCTGGCTGTCAGTTGAGACAAATAACCTTGGCATTTGCAATGGGGCTTATGGTCAGTGAGAACATTAGCAATCTGTCCATCTTTCCTTTTCTACTTTCCCATACCTGGCCTGTACATCAGAACCAAAATGTGCTATTGCCTTGGCTGCCATGCACACTCGTTACTAATCTTGAGGTGCTAGAACTTAGATTCCACAACAGGATGAGGGTGGCCATGAGAACCAACTGATAGCAGGTCTCCCTCACCATAGCATTTTGGATGGGTCCTTGTAAACTTGCTCTTTGCATGGGAACCACATCGCCTATATCTGTGCACAAGACATAGTCAGGGTAGTATCACACTTTATGCCTTCAAACACCATACAAATAGTAACACATATTCATCAAAAAGAAATAGCAAAGGCTTCCCTGTGATTTGAAAAATCACTAGGTTGGAAGCAGACTAGAATTAGGCCTTTTCTCTGGGCTCACAGTATGTGAGGCAAAGACTCAATGAAAACATCTGGCCTGCCAACATGGTGCCAGGGGAGCAAAGGCAGCAATGGGAATGTGTAGAGTTCTGTATGACTCTTATTTCCTTCCAGCACATTGGCTGCTTCTCTTCAGAACTCCCCATATCCCTCTTTGGGCTGCCAGGGTCATCCAGTGGTCTTGTTAAGAAGCAGCTCTTGTCTTTCCTGTCCCCTTTCTCCTCAGGTGTTCAGATAAGCAATCAATCACCCACTTCCGTGCATGCACACAAAAAGGTATGAAGAAACTTTCCATTTTCACTAAATATGGTTTAAAAAATGACATCTGTTAATATACTTAAAAAAAAAAAAACAGCTAGGAGACACTCCACAGGAAAACTATGGACACCACAAAGAACAGGAAGAAATATGCCTTTTATTAGAAGTCTCATATGTACAGGGAAAGCTGTTTCGCACAGCTCAGGGAAGGCTGTGAGAAAGAGCCACTGTCACCCAAGGTCACCGCGCTTACATTGGTAATACCATTTAAACATTGTTGAACATTAACAAACTGAGCCATTACACAGAAATGCAAAAGAGACACAGGTATGTGTGGACACTTCACATATTTTCTAAAAACAAGTCGACACAAAAATACAATGTGCCAGTAAAAAAAAAATAGGCATATCAATACTTGTCTTTGTTTCTCTTTCTTTTTGTTAATACACAAGACACTGAGTTTTCATCTCAAGCTTTTTGTCACATTGGGATTTGCAGGCACTTTAGCAAGCCAGCCACGGTTTACAATACAGGACGTTTAGGCCAACAGATGAACATCGGGAGCATCCAAGGACCTCGTGACCCACACGTGTATTAAAATATTGACATGAGTGCAATCTTTTGTTACCACTGTTTTGGGACACCAAAATGTTCTCTGCGTGATGTGCAGTGGCTTTTCCCTTATTTGTCTTTTATGTTTTATGGTGGAATCATTTATTAATGTGGCATTGCCAGGTAGGGATACAGTGTATGGGTGCACAAGACAAATATCAATTCCAACCAACCTTAAAAACTGTAGCAACATCAATTTTTAAGAATCCAAAAATGACTGTGTGATTTATCATCCCACTCTGCCCTCCTTACCAACCTGTCACAACAAAAACTAATTAAAATAATGACTTCGTGGACTGGCCCACAGCTCCTCCTGGGAGGGTTGTTTTCTCAGCTCTCACCTCCTTACAGTGCACTGAGGGCCGACAGGCAGGCCACCCCCACGCCCCTCGTTCCCCACACAAGACTGTGTTGACTCAGCATGTGTCAAGAACATGACCGAACAAGTGTATTTATAAACACAGACTAGAATTGTCATTTTATTGGTAATGTTGAGTTCTAAGGCAGTTACAAAAGGACTCCCCTGATAACCAACGGTGTTGGAATATGGCTTGACTTCTTTAATAGGATGACAGAATTTTCCTTTTACAAGGAGCTGAGAAAGAAAAGGGAAATGCATACATATTACAAATACTAGAAATGACTGTGCTGTGAAGCACTGGAAAGCCCCAGTGTTTGGTGTATGTCACCCACTTTCATCTACCAGAAATCTCAATGCTGCCTTACAGCTAAGAAAAGCAGAGGAAAAAGAGAGCCATCAGCAATTCCCTCAGCTTCAAGTTAATTCATAAGGAGCTGTAACAACAAAGCCATGATCATCAGATACATGGGGCCAACACTCCTGGTCCATCAGAGAGATGCAGAGCGGATGAATGCCTGGAACAGATGATTGTCAGTGGTGGAAAACCCTTCCATGAAACAGACGATTGAGACACAGTGGCAAAGACGTTAAGGCCTTCCATTTCTTTGCCCATACTGCTTAAAGGCACTGATACCAACAACAGAAATATCCCATAGTACCATCAAAGTTTAAAAAACTCCCCAAAATACAAGTCTTCATAGGAAAATGTCCTTTATTGCGTGACATGAAGCTCCGTTGTCCTCGTGCTCAGGAGTAGAAGGGCCTCCCCTTCTCGGGTGTCTGGAGTCTGTTCAGCCTGGCAACCTGAGAAGGGGATGGGGGCACATCTTGCCGGAAGGGCCCCTTGGGAGGGGGGTAGTTGGGGTCCTGCACTTTCTTATATGAGTCATAGTTGCTGGGCCCCTCGGGAGGGGGCAGCTTCTTCATCTGCTGCTCCTTCCGCCTCTGTTCCTGGCGCAGGAGCTCCTGGGTCTCCAGCATGACCCTTGCGTTGAAGCCATGACCACCCAGGTAGCCGTTTCTGGATCCCTGGTAGCTGGAGTACCTGGGGTTCTCCTTGGCACTCTGGAAGCCTTCGCCAGGGGGGCAGCTTTGCTCCCAGGACTCCTGGGAGGCAGAGCTGGCATTCTTCCTGCTTTGCCTAGGAAGGAAGTAAAGGACAAAGGGTAGGGTGAAGGTTGGGAGAGGAGAGAGAGGGAAGGAAGGGGAAGGAATGAGATGTGTATTTTCCTCATTCAGGAGATGTTACTGTGCTCTAATCATACACCAGACACCATGTGGGGCTGGATAATTCAAACCCGGCTGTCCTCAGCAAGCTCCCAGTCCCAGCTAGGTGCACACAGAACAAACAGGAGAGAGAAGCAGGTCCAGCAGTGATTTAGAAAAGGGCCCTTCTCCCATAGTTGGCAAGGTGCATGTTCCTCTTCGGGGGACAGGGTCTCCTGCAATGGGGACTTATTGGCAAGTATAAAACTGTAGGGGCTAGGCAGCATCTACTATTAGCTACCATTGCTGCTTGCTTTAGAATGCTGCAATTCAATTCTAAATAAGCAAAACAAATATTCTACACAGCTGCCACCATAATGCCAAAAATGCAAGCTAATATGAATTACATGTAATGGATTACAATATGAGTTCAGTTATGAAAGATTTAAGTCTAGACTCCTTTGTGATTAAAAATGCAATAGGCAATCCCTTTGAGCCCTGGCTTCTGAGTTCTTTGTGTCAGCAGCTGGCACTCATCAGGATGGGACAAGCGGTTGTCTGTAGGGTAAGTACTGTTTCTTTGCACACTTTTCCCTCACCAAAGGCCAGAGGAACCTACTTAACTCACTTTCTGTAACCCCGGATAGGGGACCAAGTCTGAGTCATGCAGAAACTTCCAGTTCTTAGCACTTTTGCAATAAAGCTGCACATGATTTTCAGGAAACATCATTGTTTTGAAACATCTTTAATTTAGTATACAGTCTCTAGATGCTTTTATGAATTTACAATAAGATTGGCTATGATAAAGTAAAACAATTTTGTGCCGGGAAGGAAGACATGCCCTAATTTTTAGTCTTGAAAATGGAAGAGGGGGAGGGAGACGATAAAGCAAAATATATTGCTCCATTTATCAATAAGAAAATCATCTGGCGACATTATGGATTGCCCAGCCTCTCAATCAGCGCACACAACACGGCTGAATGTTTGAAAAAGACTTCCTGCCTGTGGCAGGAAAAGAAGGTCTGTCTGTGAAGCCACCGGTCTCCAACAGAAATGGAGCAATTTGCATTTTCAACATTCTGAAGTGCTGGCAATAAGGTTTGGGATCCAATCTACCCATTTTCCATATGGCCTAAGTTGTAGTTGGGGCATTTTCAAAATGGAAATTGAATTTAGTGTTCAGTGTCACCTCTGGATCTGACCACAATGAATTGAGCAGACTACAGTGTTTCTATCTGGCTCTCTTTGTATGAGTCAGACCATGTACACCTCAGCCCAAGCAAGATTCCTTAGATTTGATGGAATAGTTTATTTTCCTAAAGCACTGATTATCTTCACTTAAAAAGTCCTAAATTAATCTGCCCAGAAACATGAGTGATAGAACGTGTCAGCATGAAACTAGGGATTTGACATTAATCATGAAACTTTAATTAAAACAACGAACTTCTTACTGATATCACAGCAACAGAGGGGTGTCCTTTCATGAGTTAGTTATCAATTTAAATTTTGCCTCTTTTTTACCCATGACCTGCTGAGATCCACAAGCCCCCTTTCTCCCCAATGCCGAAAGACCTCAGGCATCACTTTATGGCAGTTGTGCACCATGAACTGAATTTTGGATTTTCCTAGGAATACAGACTATTTCTACATTGAAGTATATGAGAATTCACTAAGGTTTGTTAGGGATGGAAATAATGGTGATGTGGAAAAATGAATGTCTTGTAGCTAAAGTTTTCTTCATGTCAATCAGTACAGGGAGAAGGAAGCAGACTGCCTGAGGTTTGAAATGGGTATGGGGAAAATGCACACACACAGATCTATGCACACACATGCTTCTTGGTAAGGAAGGGACTGGTATCCATACACTCTTGATTAAGAAAAGAATGAGAAATGAGCCAACTGTAGAGATCAAAAAAGGAAGCAGAAAATAAGAGCTTCCTATACTAGAAAGCTAGACCTCCAGGTCCTGGGCACGGGAGCAGAGTAGCTTGGGAACAGATAGACACAGATTCAGATCCTGAAACTCCGACCTGGTAGCTGTGTGACCCTGGGGGAGTTATGCTCACTTGCATTTTACCTCATCTAAGAAATGTATATAACAGATGATTAAAGGCTGTGGGGAGAAATAAGTGGAATATCATGTGAAAAATGCTTAGAAAAGGGCCTAGGGACTGGCCCACTTTAAATGATTGACTAGTAGGCACTAGAAGAGATGTTTCAGAAAAAAAAAAAAAAAGTCACTTTGCCTTCAAGGATCAGGCTTTGGAGCTGGAGGTGTCTTTTGGACCAAAGGAAAAAAAGTAAACAACAACATGAACTTTCCCTTCTTTGGTCAGAAGGGCAGGGTGGAGATCAAAGAGCTTGTACTAAGGGAAGGCCACTTCCCAAATACCTCTGCAGAAATTAGAAGTCCATGCTCCAGGACTCATGGTCTTCCTACTGCCCAGGATCCCTCAGCCAAAGGCCACCACCACCACCAGCTTGAAGCATCTGTCTTCTTTCACTGCATTTCTTTACAATCAACACCTAGGTTTTTTTGGTCCTGCCATGAGCCCCTGGAGATTTCTGGACCCAATCAATGCACACACCCCAGCTTAGCAAGGACTATCTCCAATGGTTACAACTATCTCCAGTCAAGATTGAAGATCATCTTCATTGTAGAAGACTTTAGCCAAAGACCCAATGCCTAACAAAAGGACTAAGTCACTGAGGAAAGGCAGATGTAGAAGGACAAAAATGATGACCAAGGCTAAGAAGCAGATAAGCAAACTGGAGACATGCTTGGTGGGCCAGGTGGGTAGCACACATGATATGCAGAGACCCACCTGGGAAAGATGCTCACAGAGCAGGAAAAATCAACCAGCAGACACACAGCCAAGGCAGAGGAGAAAGAAGAGAAATGGAGAGATGCAGTAAAAAAGAATCAGGCAGAATATTTTATTAAGGGCCTTAAGTCTTTCTGTCAGTGCCCATGATTGCATGTACCTGGGCTCACTTTGAGACCTGGTTTTTGGATACTAACCAAAAGAACTAATTGAAGAATTTTAAAAAAGAAAACATCCTAGTCTGATTGAGAACTGAGTGTGGGGCCACTTGGGTCTCCTTTCCTCCCAAACTAGTGTTTCCACCTGGCTAGTGTTTCTCACTGACATTTCAAAATGTGACTCGAATTCTGTCCATGGATTTCCTTAATTACAGTTAGAATTTACAAATGAGTCTGGCTCATATACATCTTTCTAATTCAAACCACCTTACCTCATGCAACTGATACAAAGTCTTGACCATTTGTTTTATTTTATGCTATACTTTGTAATTGTGTGTTTGTGTGTGTGTGTGTGTAAAATCTTTTTGGTTTCAAATGCCATACCAACTTGTTTACACAGAACTCTGCTAACTGTCACCATCCAAAAAGCATAAGGTGAAGTGTCTCTGAAGAACAGCACATGCCAGCATCTTGGATCTGATTCCAGCTCACGTAGATTGCTGCAGGCCCCCCTCTAGCCTCTTGGTTGAGTTCTTCCCCTTCTTCAGGTTGCTGCCTTGCACGCAGCCTGTTGTGATTGGTGTTACTTTGCCAGGAATGGGCTGGGGAAGAGTTTCCATTCCTGACCCTTCTCATGAACACCAAAATTCACACTGAGAAGCTCTTCTCCAAAAGAGAAGAACATGCTGCAGAAAGCTCCCAGCCCGTCTTGCTGAAACTTTTATTTTGATGATGTCTGTTTTTCTCATATCTAAATGGAATAAAATAACTAAAAATAGGGAGCTACAATTAGCCCAGAGGAAAAGTCTATTTTTAGTGTGGAAAACACTAAGAACAGCAGTAGTACTAGCAATAGCAGCAGCAACCCACTTACACTTATAGATGTGGATAGTTCCACTGGGAATTTTGGGGAAGGGGGATGGGAAGGAGAGATGTACAGAAAAGAGGGATGTAGAGGCAGAAAAAGAGGGGTTAAGATGAGGTGACATCCACTAACTGGATATTTCAAAGCTGCTAACAGGAGATTCTGAATGTTCTAAATGCCAAGAAATGATCAATGTCTGAGGTGATGGATGTGCCAATTACCCTGATCTGATCATTAAGCATTGTATACATGAATTGAAATGTCATACTATACCCTACAAATGCATACTGTTACTATGTGTCAACTGAAATTGTTAATTAATTAAAAAACCACAGGAAAGAGAGAGAAAAGACTGGGACAAAAGGTACAATATGGAACTCAGGAGAAACACAGTGGAATCGCATGCACCCCTGTTCTTCCTCCTCATGAGAACTGGGACCCTACTGTCTCTTCCCCTCAGCTTTCCTGCCTTCCATGTCATCCCCAGCACAATGTCTCCTATCTCCCTGCTTGCTTGGCCCTTTGCATTTCCTGAGTTCCTTCTCTCATTATATGTACTTTTTTATAGTTCTTCATTTTTGAGAAAGCTCTTAAACATAGCTAAAATCCTGAAACTAAGAATTAGCCAATAAAAACAAGAATGCAGCCCAGGGATTCCACTCACACAAGCCATGATGTGTCAAGGACCCCATGTGGCTGTAGAGTCAGGGCTTATCCAGGTGTGTTGAGTCAGCCACATTGATGTTCACCTTGCCCATGGAATGTAACCTAAACAGGCCGGGAAAGGGAACTGACAGAACCTTTATGGATAATTCTCAGAGTGTTTACCTGTGACTCATTGGCCTTTCTCCAAATGCAAAGAATAGCAGAGCTCCAAAGGTATCTTTACACAAGTATCAAACTTGGGAACAAAGGCCTATGGTAGCAACCGTGTACTAACCGTGTAGGGCATGGGCAGGCTTGGGTTTGAATTCTACGAAAAAGAATTTTAGCTGCATGACCCTGGGGAAAGGACTTGATTTCTCTGAGCTGTTTCCTTTCAAGACAAGGTGATCTCCAAGAACCTGTCCAGACCCACACTTCACTAACTCTTACCTAGGGTGAACTAAATAATGACTAATGGGTGACTACTCCTATTTAAAAGCCAAAATAATTTAGTTCTCAAAGGAGATACAGCCTTATGAACTGAAAAAGAACACTAAATGTACATGTTATTATGTCAGTGGCACTTGTATTGGTTAGGACTTTCATTCACATTCATGTCCCCTTGGCCGATCCCTGGCAATGTAAAGTCTTTTGTGGTCATCATAGTGATTATTTAACATTTAAAAGGACTCAGTCAAACCCCATTCCCACCAAAAAAAAAAAAAAAAAAAATTGAATCAGATCACTTTTACATGGATCAAATGTATGCAGATAATCACCTGACTCCCAACCAAAATTACTTTGTTCAAATTCAAAAGTCTACTTGACATCAATATGGTAGATGGATCAAAGACACTAAAAATGTCTTTGTCACCTGGTTTTGAAATAGGACAACAAATGTCTGTAATAATTGGGACTATAGGAGTGATTTGCTTGGGGAAGTTTGAAAAGCTGAATGCTTTTCCACACTTTTTTTACTTGCTATATATTGCCTGGAAGAAATACTTTGATGGAAAAATGGCTCTTCTCTCAGTGTATTGGGGTCTAGTCATGACAGAGCTGTCCAGGACTTTGGCAGAGGATGCCTGGAGTAGAGCTATCTCTCCCTGGGAACCTGGCAGAGAAATCATTCTTACTTGGCTACCACCTGAGGGGCTAAACACCTCTGGGGCTCTGTGTGTCCACAGTGAACAGCAGCAGCATGCCAGGTCACAGAATGAAGTTTGCAACCATTGATCCCCCAAAAGGATGGAGTATAGAGTGCTCACATTACTTTCACAGAGCCCTGGATGCACCAAGCATCATTTATCCCAGTACCCTGTGAGCTCAGCAAAAGAAGAGTTCCCTTCCTCTTTCTCAGACAAGGGACAGACTGTCCATAGACACATAGAAAAGAGCAGAACCCGTACTAGGGCCCAGGTCCTGGCCACTAAGCCCAGCATTGCCATGTCACGTTGCTTAATTTTTGGTTCAGGAGATTTTGGGTGCAAATGCTGATGTCTTTGAAAATACCTTTCTTCCTAGTCTACCTGCCCCACAGTGAAAGGTGCCTTCCCCAAGACAAGCATCCTAGCATTGAATTTCTGGGTGAGTGCCCTATGTAAACTGGCGAAACCACTGCAATTTGGGAAAGGGAAGTTTCTGAAAGGCCTGGAATGTCTGGAGTGCTGGCCAGTGTCTGTGTACCTGGGCAGTGAGCTGTACTGGCGTTGGGCCTGCTGGAAGCTCTCACGCTCCTCCTGCCGCTGCCGCTGCACTTGAACCTCCACGGACACCGAGTGCCGGCCGCTCTGTGCTGCTGGCCTGGAGCTGGGCTGTGAGAGAGAAACACAGCTCATTAGCAAGAAGGGAATGACACAGGACACACCACTGATGACTCAATTTCCATTTGTTTTTCTTTTGCAGTGCTGAGGATCAAACCAGAGCCTGCACATGCTAGGCTAGTGCTCTGCCACAGAGCTGGTCTTTGTGTACTTTGAGCCTTTTGATTCTTGTAAGTTGACATAGAACCAGTTCGCAAATTCTCCCTAACGTCAAGTTTGTTTGAGACAGGAACCAAATCATTGCTCCTCAGCCCCACACACTTCATGTTGAGTTGTGATTTTAGCTTTGGCGCATGGTTGAAACTGGAGAGGTCAATCTTGCTGGTATTCTTAATGAGAGTGGTATACACGACATGAGGTATCAATTTACATCCCTGTGTATACACACCAAACACAAGGCAAGTAAGGCTGCTTAGATAACTGAACAATGTTAATGCCAAAAACATAGTGAAAATTTGCTCCAGGAACTCACAAAGTGGGCGAGTTCACAGTCCACACTTGAAAGCTAGCTATGTTGGTGAAGTTTTTGGGGGTTGTTGTGTATTTTAGTCTAGCAGTAGGATATAATATGGTGGTCTCCCATTTTTATTACAGAATGACAGAGCTACAATTTGAAAATTTAACCAAGATTGGTTTAAAGGAGACACTGTTAGCCACAAGACAGGTCTTCTCCAACTCAAAGATGGCAGCCAAACAAGGAACAGAAGCACTTGGCAACAGAAGGAGCCTAAAAGCCAAAGAACAGGTGTTAGGCAATGTGCTTCCCTTAGTTAGTAAGACATGGCCTTTACCAAGCTTAATCATAGCCTCCTCATCTGTTGCTGGGAACTGCTCACCACAAGTAGATTGCTGAGTTTGTTTGTTGTGCTGTGCAGATAGAGACCCTGTGACAGCTCTACTTCCTCACTTACAGTTGTTAGCTTACCTTCTAGATCTGGCCTTTTGAAATGAAAGAGTCTCAGCTGAAATGAGACAGTGAGGCCTCTAACTTTACAAACATCCAGAAGGGTTTATCACTGATACAGGGATAAACCAGGTGGTACCTGGTCACCTCTATTGTCTTTGTGTTTGTGTTTGTGTTGCTCAACACTGTGTAACACGAGTGTCCTAAGTGAAAAATGTTAAAACATGTTATCCATTTTATTTTAGAGTTGACAGCCAGTGGCAGACTTTTACTTGATAATAATTTTCTAAAAGAGCAGTCTTAGTGTTCAGTGGAGAGCGGGAAGATAACTCGGGGCTTAATACCTGAAGACAGCCCCTCTGGTTGGCTTTTGTCTGAACAGAAACCCAGCAGCATCCAGTGTCCCCTTTCTGCCAAGGCCAGCACTATCTTATTTGCTGATAAGCAATAATGAGGCAAAGTCTAGGACAAAAATCTCCAAGCATATGGGCACAGTCAGTGAACATATTAAAAATATCCCGACACAAAAATAATGTGGGAAGAGATTAGGCTTTATATTACCCCAGTCTCTACTAGTAGATGTTTCTCGCCACACTCATTGGGATAAATGTGTGCTCAGAGACCCACTCTACGACTTAGTTCAAATAACACATCCGTGGTGCCTTCAGCAAAAAAACCACTTTGCCCAGTGAGTTTCTGCTTATGCAAACAAAGCAGCAACCCATTGTTCACCAACTCCATTACAGCAGGCAGGCGTTTTCTTCCCCCACACTTGATGAGGCTGGCCAAATAGGCTGCTGAACTGTCGTGCTGGTCGTGGGGAGCCATGAGCAGCTTGAAGAAAGTCAACAGGCAGAGGGGAAACAAAGGGAGAAATATGGTGCAATTTCCACTCTGCCCTCACAAAGAGCCCCATTCCCTTCCTTCCCACTCAGTGCAAGCTATCTGCGTGTGTCAAGTAGTCTTGAAGGGTCTGGCATTCTGCAGCGGGATTTAGTAACCAGCTTTTTAAGCTCATGCTGTTTTGTGACACACTGCTTACAGAGATGTGAAAAGCAAATGCAAGGTCTTGTGGAAATTTCAGGTGTGTTTTTAAGTTATTTCTCCTAGCGGCCTGAAATTATGATTCTGACAGAGAAAGAAAAAGTTGAAGGGCTTTTGTTTCTGCAGCTGTGTTTCTGACACTGTTCAGCTCAAACCTTATCAGCTGTAAGGATCTGCTCAGCTGCTGATGGACTCTGGTAATGAAATGACCAGCATAGGAGCCCAGGAATGTAAAGGAGTGAACGATTTTGTATGGGCAAACTGACATCTCTCATATTATCATGTTTGCTATGATGAATTATAAACAGGGTCACCATTACTATTTTACTCAGTTTCATTTTCCAGAGGATGCAGTAAAGAGCATGGGTCAGTAAAAAGAATTATCTTTACCTTAATCATGAAACTGATGGGCCACACAACTTAAGGAAGATTGCGTACACGACGAGACTAACACACACCTCAGTGAAATCTTTCTGCCAAGTTTTACACTTGGCCAAATTAAAAAAAAAATCTCCACTTGGAGACACAACTTCAATGACGATCTCATAAATGTGTAAGTGATGGGAAGTCTTAAAACTGGCAATCCTGCCTTTTAGATACTCTGGTTTTAATGCCTATGGCAGAAATAGAATCAGGTATCTAAGTCCCAAATCACAAAAACAAAGAAATGAAGAAGAGAGAATTTGTAATCTCACAGAGAATTGAGTTGTCGCTTCCCAACAGTCACAGAGCAAAGAGTGCATGGAGAAACACAGGTGGAGGCACGACTGTAATAATTCTGGGGACTGTCAGACAGTGAGGCCAAGTTACAAATAACCTGGCCTTGTTTTTGATGAAATTGGTTACAAGAAAATGACCTTTAAAGCAAAAACAAAGCCAAAAGATGGCAAGTTAGAGTAACAATAGAAGCTGAAGGATAGAAATAAAACATAGCTATTATATAGTAGCACTGTAATGTCTTCAGGGGCTTATGTTTAAAACCACAATGAAAAATGTGTTCTGTGCTTTTGTAAATTAGTTGCAATACTTGACTTTATCATGATTATAAAGAGGTACTATTTAAAATTTGAGGAAGCTCTAAAGTGTTGCTATTATTGTCATGTAAAACAAAATATAAGAAATAGCTCCCAAAGAGTATTTCACTGAGTTGAGTCATTAACTAAGCATTTCTCTAAATTACTCTTTTTTTTTACAAAAATAAAAAAATACAAAATAGTTAATAGACTAATGAATAAAAATACACAGTACAAAGTTTTAGTACTAAATAACACTAGGTGATACTATAAGACTTTTTTGTAGATTACTATAAAGACATGTTGCTATAATAAATCATTACTAGCTTATAACATTTACATAAGATATTCAATAATTTAAAACATACCAAATAATTTTTCCTCACAGATAAGAAAAACAAGGTAGAAACATGTGATATATACATATATATATATACATGTAAATATTCTTATAAATGTTCATTTGAAGCAGGTTTTCTACCTAACTTATGAATAATAAAAATTTTCAAGTTTTCACATATGCCAAGGGTATATATAGAAAACAAAAAAAAAATACAAAATGTTTGTGTGCTTGAGATGAACACCTATGATGAATAAGAATTAAGCTGATGATGAAGATAATTAAAACCAATGATAGATCTTTATGTCTTAGAACCCTTATTTTAGCACATCAAATATACCGTATATGCCCACAATGTGAATTCCATATTCTGATAAAAATGACAATTTAAAGACTTGGTAGCAGGTAAAAATAATTTTTATGCAATAAATCATGTAAAGAATGCAAGGTGTTCAAAGGGGCTTCCCCATGGTATTTCACCTATAAAAATATCATACTTTAATCAAATGAACCCCCTTCCTTACTCTCCCTTAATCCCTGTGAAAAATGAATATACACTTTAAAGGAATGAAGGACAAGAATGTAAAACAGGTCCTGTTTGAGGCGGGTACTAGTGTGAAGGGGAGGGTGAATGAAGAGGGTGAAGAAGGGTGAATGTGGTGAATGTACTCTATATACTTGTATAAAAATAGAACAATGAAACCTATTGAACTCCTTTTAAGTAGGGGAGAGGGGGATGAGGGAGAATGGTAGTAGAGGTGAACCTAACTAAGGTACATTGTAAGCATATTTGGAAATGTCACAGAGAACCCCCCCTGTTCAACTAATACATGTTAATAGGAATATTGAATTGAAAAAAAATAATCTAAGTTATATACACTGTTTAAAAGTGGCCATTGTTAATATTGGTAACTCCTTTCGGTAGTACACTTATTTATAGCTTTTAATCAAAACAAAATTAACTTTTGTCTATCTATCCTGGCTTCTCAGCCTTCCACTGCAATTTGTTGTTAAACTCTTGTGGGTTCTGAATATTGAAAAGCTTAATTGCTACTCTGAATCAGAGTAATGGCTGACAAATCTGCAAAGCATACCTGTTTCCCTCATAAAGTTTTTATAAAGGAATGTTTGGTCTTAACACACTTATTTGTCTTCATTTCATCTTTCCTACTGCTGCTTGGATCTAGTTTATTTCCCCACCTGAAGCTAGAGGCACACTGAAAATAAAAGGGTAGGTCTATAAGGACAAGCCAGGTGCCCTAGCACCAGGTGCTCATGTCAACCCAGGGCAGTTCATGAGTTCCCACCATCCGGTTCTCTACAGGAAGAATGTGCTTGGGACATGAAAGGTTGCCTGGAGGGATGGGTCTTGGGGCTAAAAGAAAGGGGTCTACTTTGCAGCAGTGCAGAGGCTCTCTCCGTATGGAGGGCCCCCTTTGTTGCAACAATGGCTTTCTCCAGGTCTATTGCCAATCAAGGTGATTTCTGCCCAGTTTGATTATACTGTAGGCTACCAAGAAAGGTGGCAATTTTTGAGTCAATGCATGGAAGCTACTATGAAGAAATGACAGCCAATACCTTTCTAGTTATAAAAAAGATGAAAAAGAGAAGATAACCACCATTTTCTCCAATTCCCCAGCACAGGGAAGGCAATCTAGGGGTGCAGAGTGGCTGTGCCCTACAACTGGCTCACCAATAGAAGCAGGTGAAACCCAGAAAGGGCAAGAAGAGCTGAGAAGTCTGGAACAGGAAAATGCAGGAAAGGATGGCTTTTGCTATTTGTTTAAAGATAGCAGCTAGGAAGAAAGCAAGCTTGGGGAAGAAGAGGATGTTCATACTACAGAGGGTCAATTTTCTACCTGAAGGACTAAACTGCTTTAAGTCACTACCAACGTGGGATGGAAAGGATTTAGCAATATAGCTATTAAAGGCTCCATTATCCCATCTATCAATCGTCTCAGCCAGCAAGTCTCCTTGTGGGCAACACTCAGGTATCTGCGAAGTTTTAACAGCATACTGTACTTATGTGTGCAGTCTGCAATTTAATTCTTTTAAAAGCAACACTAAGTCCTGTCTATATCTGAGCTCTGTGATAATAACCCTAACCTCAGCTATTGTTCCATTATCTTAGGAAAGATTTAAAGCAAGTTTCTGCTTTATTTAGGCTGCACCTGGCACTATGTGAGGAAGAACTTGCTTTTCCTTTTTCTTTACTCAACCTGGGAGAGAATTTGCTTCAATTATGGAGCTAAGGAAATTTTCTGGGCCTCTGCTCATCTAAAGACCTTTTGTGCCATAAATCAGCTCCCTCAGGCCCAAACATTATTTTGAACAAAGGCCCATGAGCAGGTGCAGTCCATATTGCTAGAGTTTTTAGAGAACATTTTCAAAATAGATGAATTGGAAAGGACTATTTAGATGAATTTTCTGCAGCTTCCCACTCTGTACATAAAGTAATTGGCTTGGATATTTTTCTGTATGACATGTCTGGATGCACTTTGTATGTGGGCATTTCTAACAAGCAGGACAATTTCAGCTTATGTCATCTAAGTTGTACACACAGTCTGAAGATGAGTTTGTGGTTCCTTAAACTAAAATGATCACAAACCATTCCAATGAGTGAGATCATGCTCTCATCCTTCCAAAAACAGTGACCCAGCAAGGTCAGAATACATACAGGAAGAGAGAAAAAGATTCCAAGATCCTCACAGTTCATTTTGTAAAATGGATAATAAAAGGCATAGCCCAAGCTACATTGTGGACAACTGCACAGCTCTTACTGAGGTAGCGATGAGAAGCGGAATGAAAATTAATGTGCTAAGTAGAATTGCAGTTACTTTAAGCTCATTTACGTGATCAGAATGGAGAGTCCATAGCAATATCCCAATTGTTTGAAAATGAAAAAAAAAAAAAATAAAAAGAAAAGGTCAACTTCTGGCCCACAATTTAGGAAATTATTCCATTCCTAAGGTGGTCAGCCTGTCATCCTAATAATTCCCTGCTCAGTCATTTCAGGAAACACTATGTCAGCCGTGTTGTCTGTCTACAGTTGCAGTGCATGTTGATACACAACCATTTGGCCTACAACCTTTGGTAGTTGTGTTTCCTAATGTACAGATTTTCTCAAGCATTTTTTCCCTGGAGTGATTGTTCATATTAAGTAGATAACACAGAAATATATGTCAACATACTGACTATCCTCATTCAAAAAAACTCCTTTAACAAAACCTCAAAAACAGATTTTAAATCACTTTTTCATCTCTCCATGAAAGATATCTAGAGCCAAAAAGTAGGAAATGCTCATTTGAACTTGTGTGGTACTGGGGGTTGAACTCAGGACTTAGCACTTGCTAGGCAGGTGCTCTACCACTTGGAACCACTTCGCCAGTCTTCTTCACTCTGATTATATTTGAGATAGAGTCTTGCTTTTTGCCCAGGCCGACCTGGATCACAATCTTATTATGCTTAACCTGTGTCACCATGCTGATCCTCCCAATCTCTACCTCCCAAGAAGCTAGCATTACAGGCATGAGCCACCAGCACCCAGCTCTGCAGCATTTGTTTTATAACCTTCCAAAGTCAAGGTTATAGCCAGGCCAAGGGTGGATTTCATAAGGCATTTTTGCTCCTGGACGCTGATCCCATGCTGCTGATTGCCTGTTCTAAGGCCCCCATCCTCCTTACCTGAACTAAGGTCAGGCCTTTCACCCTAGCACTGCTTCCCACTCTTCCTTTGTCTCCTTTCATCCTGAAATCAATCCACCTCAACTCCAGTGTGATCATTAATTCCCTTAATCAGAAACATGTAAGGTTTGTGTAAGGTATTGGGGGTTTTGGGTGTTAGGACCAAGAAGGGTCTCAAAGACCACCTAGACTAAAACAGTGCATTTCAGAGTAGAACATGTCTACACTAACTTGGGGAACTTGGGGAACCTAGATTCCTGGGCCCCACCCACAGAGGGGTGGGCCTGAGGCAGGGCCCAAGAATGTGTATTTAGAACAAGTTTCCAGGTGATGCTGAAGGTGCATCTGTGCACCATACTGAGAAGCTCTGCTCCACAGCAGCAGCAAATTGGAGCTTGTTCAACCCGAGGAGCTTGTTTCCATCTGTGTTACACAGTCAGATTCCTCCTAATTGTTCAAGTCATCAGATGGCTTGGTGAAGGACAATCATCTACTTTGCTCTTCCTGGTTCACAAACTTCAGCCTGGAGAGCCAAGCCACTGTACTCTGGGACCAAGGTTGTATCCTGACTGTCCCTCTTCCAACCCTCCATCTAGCCTCACAGGCTCCTGCTGTGACTCTACCTTTAATTTCTCTTCCCATCAATGCAACCAACCCCTCAAGTCTATTTCAGCTAGGCAGTTTGTCCTGCAAATAAAGCAGGATCATTTGTATTACTTCAAGTCTTTTCTCATGCCATTGTTTTTTCTGCCCTATCCTCTTGAACACACAGTGTGTTAATTATATCTGAACACTTTGTCTGGATTCCAGGCACTAACTTCTCCTGTGCTTCTGTAACTCACATGCACAGATAACAAACCTTGGATCTCAACAGTATTCAGAACTTTGCTACCTCCACAATCTTGGATTCCAAAATGCACACTGTTCTGACCACAGCCTCCTAGGATTGGTATCTCCTAGGCTACCGGCCTCAGCTGCATCCTCCCAGGCTGCACTCCCCATACTGACAAACTGGGTGCTGCTCTTAGAATCCTTACCAGACCCCACAATGCCTCACCCATCTCCATCACAGAATTAATCTGTGAATGTGTTTTCCTCTACTTTCAGTCCCCTAAGCATGGTTGGCTAGGGTCATACTGCCATGTGGATTGGCCTTCCTAATGCCAACAGCTAGATTTTCCTACCTTAATCAGCATATTTATTCAACCATGACTCATCCTCAAGTTTCCCAAAGAGATTCTTCACAGTCTCCATCATCTCACACCCCCAAATCTGCTCCAACAGCTCCCCTTCCATAAGTGCTGTCATTTTAGAGGTGAAACACAGGATCAGGACTCAGGGCAGGTCTGACTGAGAACACCACACCAAGTTTTGTTCTTAAAAGATCACTCTGGTGATTGTGTGGAAGTTGGACTACAACAAAGATGCAGACAGATAAATAGGGGATTCAACAAATACCCAAAGGGGATGAAGGAGAATGAAGAATCAAGAGTTACTAAGCATTTCACTTCATGCCTAACAGACACAAAAAGACATGAGTTGAATTTACACTGGCTCTGATTTTGAGAAAGATGTATGTATAGAAAAATATTTACTAAACTTAATTAAAAATATATAGTTGAGAGCAAGAATAGTCAGGCAATGTCATGTCCTAAGACTAATTAAGCCTATTATGCCATGGAGGACAGATGGTGGAACAAGAGATAAAATGAAATTAGCAATGATAAAACCCAGATGGAAATGAGGGCAAGGTCAATGTGTTAGAGGTCAGAGGGATTTGGCTCTGTCTGGTCTTGTTTCATAAAGAGCTCAGGAACCAGATACTCACCCAGGGTTGTTCGAAGCTGTAGGTGCGTCGCCGATCTTCCACATCTTCATCCTGCTTGGCTTGCTGAAACTCCTGCCGCAGACGCTGTATCCGATCATGGTTGCTAGGAGCTGATCGGTTGCTGAAAGAGAGAAGGGGCACAATGAATACCCATCAGAAATATTATCTACGAATTGCAGTCACTCGGAAAAAATGGCAACTTGCTGTGAAATGATGTGATTTCAGAGGCAGCAAATTTTTAAAACAATATCTGGGAATTTAAAATATGTTTTCACTTTGTTCTGATTTATGCCTATTGAAGTGATTTCAGACAGGTATCTAAGAGGATGGATGGTAGTTTTAGATAGTCTTCTTTTCTACTGTTCTTTAGCCGCCTCATTCCTTTATATGATCTGGCAAGGCACCAGCAGTGAAGTTTTGGGGAAGGACGTGGCTTTATTTATTTATTTTTTTAATTTTTTTTTCTGAATAAATCTTATTTTTTCTTTTATTATTCATATGTGCATATTCATATGTGGTTCATTAGGCTTTAGACATCAGAAAACCAGGCTTCTAGACCTGCACTGACACTTCTCTCTATATGAAGTGGAAATTAGTCTTGCGCTAAACATCATCATTGTAACCACCAAGTGAGAAAACACCACTAAATACAGCCTCACAAGCTGGCGGTGATGGCACATAGCTGTGGTCAGAGCTACTTGGAGGCTGAGGCAGGAGCACTGTAAGTTTGAGGCAAGCCTGGGCAACTTAGAGAGATCCTGTTCAAAACAAACCCTTCTTTAAAAAGGGGACTGGAGGCGCAGCTCAGTGGTAGAGTACTCGCCTAGCATGCATGAGGCTGTGGTTCAATCCCCAATAATGCAAAGAAATTAAATTTAAATTGAAAAACATACACATAGCTTTACAAATGTGCAGTATTATTATTAGAATTCCATTATATGAAGTTCCTACCTATGAGTCATCAGAGTTCTACGAACAAAATGCAACTCTCACAGCATAAGTGAGAAACATTTAAAAACTAATTTCAGGCAGTAATTTGAGTTAACCATTTAACTCAATGATGCTATTTTCTTTTCATATAGTTCTGAATTTTGTTTTACACTCACAGATCACTTATAAAGTCGGTACAGAAGGTACCAGTCCACACACATACATACCCATACATCTGCAAAAGTGGAAACTGACATTTGAAGGAGGTGAGTGGCTTATTGGAGGTCTCCCAGCTGACCAGTGGGAAAAGTAGGACTAAAATCCAGATTTTCTGGCTCCTAGTCCAGTTCTTACGTCACTATGCTGTGTGTATCACTTAGTAACACACATACCGGACTCCTAAACTCCTTCACTATAAACTTGGACAAACATCGAAAATCAGTATTTTTATACTAAGAATACTGACCAATGCCCCAAATTAAATCAACCTTAACTCTTAGGGTTCTTTTTGTTATTCTATGTATTCAGGCACTACATTGGGTCCTGTTGGGAGCCATCGGAGCATAACACGCAGCTTCCGAGACTCTTCAGACTTCCTGAGGACCAGAATCAACCCTTACACTATCGTCCCCACCAAACTGCTGGCAGAATAGGAAGCTGGAAGCCATTAGGATGAAAACTCTCTGCCTTGGTTCATCACTGGGTATGAGTTCTGCTGGGTGCTGGCTTCTGGGTGATGTCATTTGTAAGAATAGCTTGGAAAGAGAAAGTCTGCCACAGCAGACACATGCCTACATATAATTGCACATATTTTGGAAAACTCTAAAGGTTTAAGCCTTTCAAAAGAAATGTACTCTAAAGGACCACAATGTTAACATCTTCCAGCCTTCCATCCCTGAATCCACAGGGACAGGAATAGGGAAAATTAGGAGCTGGCTTGTTCCTTTCCCCTTCACATTTCTATCAATTTCATTGGCTCTTCTAGAATACCCTATCAATACATGCAATTTGATTATTTTCTCAGTCAGTAGAAGCCTATCCTCTCTTTGTTTTCTGCTGGCAACTCTTTCAGGCTGATCAGCCTGAGAACATTAAAAGTCTGTAAGATGTTCTGCCTGACAATGTAAGGCTTTGGTCCACACTGGGGACAGTTTCAGAACTTCTCTCCACACCTTTGAGACAGGCAGGTTGTTATTCCCACTGGTTTTTAAAAATATATGCAGCACCTTATATTCTTCCAACACATCAACTTTCAATCATGGCTACCCCATACCAGGTGCTATCTATAAAGTTGCTTCTTGCCTGTGCAGGATGGTGAAGGTGTGATAAACATGAGGATGGTTTAATTCCTAAGAGAAAAATGTAGGAAAGTGAGCATCCGCTAATGTCATTGTCACTTTCCCAGCTGTGCATTTTTTGTTCCTACCGTACATTGTAGTTTTTAATGGGAGGATAGCAAGAGGCTTGAATGACAAGGTATTTTACAGGTCTAGCCAGAAATGTTTCTTTATTACTTTTAGGCAGCATTGCTAACCTTATACTTACCAAGTACATGAAGTCCTAACCATGAAAGAAAACTGGTTCCATGTTATTTGTGATTAAGTAAGTAAAGCTCCATTCTCCCAACAAAAGAACTTGACGCTGTGTCTGGTTTTTTGTTTTGTTTTTTCCCAGAGTAAAAAAACAAGCTCTGGGGGTCCCTTCTGCCCTTATTTCCAAATCTGAGCAGCCAGTGAGGTCACTACTTTCCTCTCCTTTCCATTACTCTCGTCCTATGCTCTACAGAAAGCTGACTGGCGTGCCTAAGACCAGCAAAGCCATTTTCATGGTTAAAGCTGGGGAAACAGGCTGCAATGGTCTCATGAATGATGATTTCCAAAGATTGGAAGACCATCAAGCGTCCTCAGGGAACAACAGTTGGCAGTCCGAAGGTGAAATTCTGGCTTCAAGAGACAAACCATTGCAATGGCTCAGTTCTGTTTCTCAGGCCAGTCTATAGCAGGCCAATAATTCAAATTCGGGCTTCGAAAGCTCTCCATGAGCCCTTCTGCCAAGAAAGCTAAAGGAAATTTTAAATATTCATTAGCAATACTGACTAATCCCTTCACATCCCAATCAACTGAGATTAGGGTTGTTGCCAATTTAAAGTTGCTCTCTTTTTTTGGGTGATGGGGGGAGTGAGGAAAATAATAAAAATACCACCACCAAAGTTGATTAGATGGAGGAGTGAGACAATAGTTCTGAGCAGGAGTCTGTAATCATGATTTCTACATACTCTGCATGGCTTGGATCTGAAAAGGGATGGTAAGGGGGATGCCAGAGGTGCTTTCTGTATAAATAGACAGACAGACTGTTTCAGTCCACATGCTAACACTGAGCCTGTCTTTGCATGGCAGTGTTTTCAGTTCAACTGGAATGTGTGTGTGTGTGAACTAAGAAGACTGGTTTGGGTTCAGTAATTATATGGAAGGTGGATCTTTCCTGTCCATGATCACCATGAGGACTGGACCTTCCCCTCTCAGAGACAGACTTCATGGTACATGAGTGTTCAGAACTTTCAGACTGGAGACTGCAATGTACTTCTTAAAGGAAGTTGAACACAGTCTGTTGTGCTAAGTGCATCAAAGACCTATGTGCAGGCAGCCCTAGTATCTGTCCTGCACCTGATCTTCAGGCATGCTGATCCAACACCTCTGCAGATACAGTGAGAGAGAACCCACCCTGCACATCAGTGCTCTTGCCCACACACTTTGTGTCTGAGAATCATCCAGAGAGCTTGTTAAAAGACACTGATAGGAATGGGCATAGTGGTTCACACCTATAATCCCAGCTATGGGGGAGGTATAGGTAAGAGGATCACAGTCATGGCTGGATCCAGGCAGAAGTGTGAGGCCCTATCTGAAAAGTAACTAAAGTAAAAAGGGCTTGGGGAGTGATTCAAGTAGTAGTGAGCATAAGGTCCTGAGTTCAAAACCCTAATGCCCCCAAAACAAAACAAAGATACTAATGGAGGGGCCTCCCACAGATACTCTGAGTCAGCCAGTCTAGTGCAAAGTGCAGGAACCCGCCTAGCAGATGTGTGACCACAGACTCCACAGTGGGTGCAGACTCTAATGCCTCCTGCCAGATAACTAAAGAGCAGTGGAGAGCTCACTGCCCAGGAAGCAACCCAGAGCATGGTCTGACACACAGGGGTCATATGCTTGCTTTTTGGGGGAGGTCCTTGGTTCCAGTAGACCATTGCCCTGCAGGGAGGCGGGTCTGCTGCTGTACTCCAAGGGGTTTTGTTTGTTTGTTTGTTTAATTTGAGAGAAGTTCAGAAATACAGTTTTTTGTCCAAATTTAAAATGTTGACTTTATTTTTTTTAATTCTAAGCAGGCCAAACAAAATAGGTCTGCTGGCAGCTAGCTTGCAACCTCTACTTTATATCCTGCAGCTGCAGTCTGTTTTATATGTTACTTTTCTTGACCATTTACTTTCACTGCATCAAGATAAGGCTAGTGGTAATAAACACAGTTGGCCTCCATGTCATGGGTCCCGCATCCTCAGATCTAACCACCCATGGATGGAAAGTTTGAAAAGAAACTGTACCCAACATGCACAGACTGTTCTCTTGTTATCATTCCCTGAACAATACAGTGTAACAACTATTTACATAGTATTTACATTGCATTAGGTATTATAAATAAATAATGCAGACATGATTTAAAACGCACAGGAGGACTTGCAAACACTATACCTTTTTATATAAGGGATTTTGGCATCCACAGATTCTGGTGTCTTGAAGGGGATCCTAGAACCAATGCCCTTTGGATACCAAGGCACAAGTGGATTGAAAGCCTGACAACTGGGCATTGGCCAGAGAATCTTGCTCCTAAATCACCCTCTCCTTCCAACCTGTCTAAAACTGAACCTGGATACACTTCCTTGCAGCTTTGAATTCTGACCTATCTTTTTGAAGGAGCATATGCTGAGAGAGGAGTTTGTGATGTGACTGATTAATTCTTTATGGATTAAAAATACTTACATTTGCATTTTTAATTATGCAAAAGAAATCTGGAAAACTGAAAGCAAGGGCAGAGATTTAAGATCCAGATTCAAAGGAAGGGAGAAGCAACCAGTCACTTTTTAAATTTGGAGGGACCGTCCCCATCATGGAAAGAAGACACGCAGGGGAGAAAGCGTGAAGG